CCCACCAAATTATCAAAAATTGCATATTTAGCCAAACTTTTTTAACGTTAACAAACAAGTACACAACTTTTTTAATTTGTTGCAATTCGAATCACCGAACCGAGACCCAAAAACGCGCTATCTTCAATTTTTTTTTTTTAAAACAATCACAACCTATACAAAAACGACAACTTTTACCCGACAACCCGTGTTTTCTCTCTCTCAAATTTGGGCCAGATGTGTCCTCAAAGACAAGTCCAAGCCCATCCTATTCACCATGGCCCGTCTCGACCGCGTCAAGAACCTCACCGGCCTCGTCGAGCTCTACGCCAACTGCCCCCGCCTCCGCGACCTCGTCAACCTCGTCGTGGTCGGCGGTGACCGCCGCAAGGAGTCGAAAGACCTCGAGGAACGAGCCGAGATGAAGAAAATGTACGACCTGATCGAGACCCACCACCTGAACGGTCAGTTCAGGTGGATCTCGTCCCAGATGAACCGGCTGCGCAACGGAGAGCTCTACCGCTGCGTAGCCGACACCAGGGGCGCTTTTGTCCAACCTGCGTTTTACGAGGCGTTCGGGCTCACGGTGGTCGAGGCCATGACGTGCGGGCTCCCGACCTTCGCCACCGTGCACGGCGGGCCCGCGGAGATCATCGTGCACGGGAAGTCGGGCTTCCACATCGACCCGTATAACGGGGAGGAGGTCGCGGGTGTATTAGTCGATTTTTTTGAGAAGTGCGAGGCGGACCCCGCGCAATGGGACGTCATCTCGGTTGGCGGCTTGAAGCGGATCGAGGAGAAGTAATTACGAAAATGCCCCTCAATTTTTTTATTTTTTTTTTTTTTGGGNTTGTATTTTTTTTTTTAATAATTGTAGGTACACATGGCAGATTTACTCGGATAGGCTGCTGACGCTGGCCGGAGTGTACGGTTTTTGGAAATACGTGTCGAAGCTCGATCGGCGGGAAATCAGGCGGTACCTTGAGATGTTCTACGCGCTCAAGTTCCGTAAACTGGTAAGTTTTTCATTACTAAGTGTACTTTTCTTCACAATTTTTGGATGGAAAATGCAAATTTTCTTGTTTATGATCACAGGCTGAAGCTGTTCCTCTGGCTGTTGAGTGATGATATTTCAAGTAATTTCTCATCTGGTGGTGTTCGAAATTTTCGAATGCTCTATATATATGGGACAGTGAAAAATGGCAACCAAATAACTTGCTTAATTTGTATTGCAATTTAATTTCTTACTCTGAATTTGACCTGTTATTCCAATTTTCTTGCAAAGTACTCACCAGTGTGGTGATTGGTGAATCATGTGTGTTTATATATTCTGAACTATTGTTGAATAATGAAGATTGGAATGTGATGTGTACCTTGACATTACTTGCGTTTTAATCAAGGAAATGATCAAATGATTCTTGAGAATGGCTATACTGTATTCATTAGCTGATTTGCACAAAAAAATGTTCAGTTTTTCCACATAGCGATATGAAGTCTTCATATTGGATTTATATATACAATATATATATATATATATATATATATATATATATAGAGGCTGGTTCAAATAAAAACTATGTCTGATGTGAGAACTGTGAGAATCATATTTGATGCTATTTTTAATTGTGTATGATGCTATTTTTAATATTACATGGTGCTATCATTTTCATAAATGCTAATAAAAATTTTGTTGTTATTTTTAATCAAATACATCCTAGTTAAAAATAGCACTAAAACACAACTAATACTACATATAATTAAAAATAGCGGTTCTCACGGTCTGACTTGGTTTTCATTTGAACCACATATATATATATATATAAATATTAAACAGTATATACAATTATTTGACAAATAGTAAACAGTATATGCAATTATTTGACATTAGGTCTATCTGTAGTCTTTCAGAAATAAATATATATCCTTAACATCGATGATTTCTTGTTAGGATTTGAATAATCTCAATATAAATATCAATTCAAACTTCGAGCAATTTGACTAGACTTATCCAATTTTCGAATCCCAGTCTGAGTTATCCTTATGGAAAAGCGAGGATTAGTTGCTTTCCAATTTTACACAAACCAACCAAGCATGTGCCATGTACAGTGTAAAATCAGATTCAATGATGTCCTGATTATAACCATGGGCTAAAAATGTATACATTGTGCAATGTTTTGTTTTGGTATCTAAGATAGACAAATAAATAAATAAATATAAAAACGATTGAACAGTTTAAAAGAGACATTAAGCACATGAACACATCACATCTTTTCCCTAGACCTATTGCTAGGGCTACAAACTAATCGAGCCGAGTCGAGCATTAGTATTATTAAGCAGGATTAATTTCTTTTTTTTTTAGTAGTTCGAGCTCGAGCTTGTCGAGCTCGATTTATGAGGCTCGAGCTCCACTCGATAAAAAAGTACAATCGCTCGAGCTCGACTCAAAATAAAAATGCTTGAGCTCGGCTCAAAAAATTTTAAGTGAAAAAATAAAATTACCATTAAGCATCTATTTTATCCTATTGGAATATATATATATATATATATAGAACCGCGACCCCCTTGGGGTACGATAAGCTTCCATTCACGAACAAGAACGTCTTCTACTACCCCCTTGGGGTATCGGATCGAGCGATCGACAAGTTGGAGGCACATACAAGTTGGTCTCAAGTCTCCGAGACTGAGCCGTTGATAAATAGAGAATGACATAAGATTGATTCCCGCTCCGAGGTCAAGCATTTTCGAAGCCTCTTTTCCATTCCTAAAAGCTATTTTAATCCCAAAACCCTCGAGATCTCGTTCTTTCTTGGGCAAATCGTGCTGCATAGCACTCACCACCTCGTAAACTAGCACTTTCTCTCCATCTGCGAATCTTCTCTTGTTCGTCACCAAGTCCTTGAAGAACTTCACATAAAGACACTTTAAATTCCAAGCGAAGTTCAAATGATGATGAGGGAGTTAGTGAATCGGAGATATTCATTTATGGTTCTAAGCAATCGAGTAGCACACAGTCACTCGATTAAGAGATCAAATAACCTACTCATTTAGAGGTTTGTTCTCAATAACTCTTCGTAACAAGAGAACAAACATGAACAATCAATTACCGAAACAATTAACACATAAGCAATACATTAACGAACAAGCCTATTCTAGACGAGCAAAGATCAATCAATTTATCCCCTTTCGGTTCTACAAATTGATTAATTAGATTAGAATTATTATCAAGTATCTAACCCTAGATTAAGCACAACTCGAATAGATTGAACGGCAAACAAGCACACATGAATCTCAATCAAACCAAAACAATATCTCTTATCCCTAACGAATCGATTTAGCCACACATATTGATATCAATCCCAACAAAAGATTCAACACAGTAATTCACATCCATAATTAAATGAAAGGAACTTACGATTAATCCAAGTCGAGAAACGAAATCAAAATACAAAACCAAATCGTGTTCGTTTTGGAGTGCCACAATTTCCCAAAAATGAATCCCCAAAGAAAACCAAGAGAAAACGAAGAGAAATCAACTTTTTTTAGATGAGAGAGGAGAAAAATAATAAAACACAGTCTGAAGAATATCTCCTTGAACCCTCAGATCGATCCCGATTAATAGCCATTCTAAAACCGCAAAATAAATCAAATTTAGAGGTTTGAAAAGTCTCGGCTCCGCGGTGCGATGCATCGACGTGGCAGGACGTTATGGTTGTCGCATGTGTGGTCGCGGCGCGAAGGGTGTGCAGCGCCGCGGTGTGAGGCATGCAGCAACGTGACGGGTAGAAAATTGAGCGCTCTGTTCGGTCGTTAAGGGCGTCACGAGCTATCCCGCGGCGCGATGGTAGAGCTGTGTCGCGGCGCGACGGGCGACGCGGCGTGACAGCAGTGAAGGCTAGCTCTGCAGGGGCGTGGCGAGCGCTGTGAGATGCTCCGCAGCGTGATGGCTCTGAACCGTATGTTGTTCAAGTCATGCCCGAGCAAGTGGCTACAGAGGCTGGTCGATTCTTTTGTCGGGATAGTTGACTGGATAAACTCCAAACACCTAGTCAAAGATCCAAACCTGTATACTTCCAGAGACAAGAAAAACACACGAAAACAGGGAAAATATCAGAAAATACGAAAATAGAGAAACAAAACGACAAACACACGAGACAAACGACTGGAGGACCGGAAATCCTATCAAAAGACCTAAAACAGAGGTAAAAAATTAATAAACTAACAAAGAAAAAAGATAACAAAATAGGACAAACACTAATTATTTTTCTCCTATTTTAAAATCAAATCAACTTTAACTATTTTATTTTAAATATTATTTTTAGTTTAAACTTAAATTCCACTAACAACTACCATACCACATTTTTCAAAATTAACTATGGTTAACAATNCATGTAATGTTGAGCTGCTTCATTTAAGCGGTTTGTAAGGCGTCGAGGGGGCAACAATGATTACTTTTTGATTAGGTGGCCCAATTAGGAGTGTGCTGTGTTACCTACTTTGGAATCCGGTCATCTCGGATCTCGGTTTCGATGGATAATCTACAGTACACAATGCTCGCGAAGTCGGTTTCTTTGTCTTTTTGTGCGAAGTTGATTATCACTTAATTGTTCAAGGTCGGTTCTTGTTTTCTTGTGCCGAGCTGGACTAAGTTAGCCGCTGAAAATAAATTCGAAGGATCATTTAGAAGATAACACGATTAATCCCTTAATTAACCTTGTAAAATGAAGTCTGTCATCAACAAAATTAATCATCTCTTGATGAGCTTCGATTTAACATCTATATTGTATGTAAAAAAAAATTATATTTATCTTTATAACAATGATAAAATTATTTTTTAATATTAATTAGAAAAATAAAATTATTTATCAATTAATATATCTATATTTCAAGTAGTTATATGATATAAGTTATAAATTTACTATAATATAACACATGTAAGTCGCACAAGTAACAACTGTTATTCTAAAATATATAATATATATTTTTTTGTAAAAAAGTAAATAAAATTAATTTTTTTTCTCATTAATTTTAAAATTTAAGAATAATTTTTTATCAAGTACTCGTATAATACACGGGTGTTGTACTAGTTAATACTTTTAAACCGAAGATTAGCATATAGGCAGACGCCTCATTAATCAGCTATTGTTAGAACGAGAGATCAGCGCCAACGAGGGGCATCGACCTTGCGTCTTTAGTTTTCTTTGTTCAGTTCGCGGATCTGCTCCGGCGTTCCCTCACGAGATCGGGCGTTCTCCACCGTCCGTTCTCGCACGATTACTCAAATTTGCTTTCCACAAGTTCTCTCGTAAGGCTTCTCACCTATCAAATTTCCTTAACTTTTTGATTGCCGATCAGTTCTTGTTGTTTTCTTTCCAATACATTGATAGTTTTTTGAATTCTGCACTCTATGTTTCTGGGGACGAAAGTACCGATCAGATCATGAGTGTTGAGTTACTCGTCGATTATAATTGAAAATACTTGTGCCTGAACCTAGTTAATCACATTTAGTGCCTTATCTGGTTGTCTATACTCAATGAATAGCTTTTGGATCCATTTGACGGTTAATAAGGTCAGCTGCCCTCAACTGGTCCTGAGATTTTATTGACCGATTGAGTTTGAGCATTTGATTTGGTATGGAAGAAAAAACACAGAAGATAATGTTGGAAAAAATACGCTGAAATTTCCATGAAGTCGGATTTATAAAAATGAAATAAAAATAAAAATTGGACACACCAAATTGATAACGGAGTTCAGCCAATAATGCTACGTCTCCGGACTACTGCAGATATTTTTTATTAGGAAGAAAAATACACTCGTGTTTACAAAACACTCTCAAACTCACTCACAACTCATACACACAGAAGCTAAATTCTTGCTTCTTGCTCACATCCTTTTTTCTCTCTTGGTGTTGTATTTGTTCTTTTCGTTGTGGTGTTTGGTGCATTTTTCTTTATCACATTCCATCTCTATTTATAGATGCCAAATGCATTAAACTTCAAAGAATGTTGGCTGCTACATTTTTCAAATTCGGTGGATTATTGGTGGCCTTTGTATGAATGCTCAATTTTCAAAATTTGTGGCTTCTTGTGGCTGCTACATTTTTCATTTTTGGTGGCTGCTTTTCAACAGATAAGGGTAAGATAAATAATGAGAATGTTGATAATCGTGGATTCCTCTGGAAAATGTAACAAATTGAAGCTTCTTTTATCTGAATTAAAGAACTTAGTAGGTTTGGACCATGTTAAAATATTGAGCTTATTTTGTTTCATGCTTCATTTATTTTGGCATTGTATTGGTTCTTCAGTTGATTAGTATTTTGTATGTTTCTGTTGGTTTTCCGTATTCCCTTAACTTTTGTAGATTTTTGGTTGAATCACTTTTAATGTGATTCCTTATAATCTATTTTGGTCTGTATGTTTAATTTCTTTATCTGGATTTATAGTTGAATATGTTTGAAAATGAAAATTAAACATCTAAGTTTTTTAATGATCTGAGTTGAACAGAATCTGAAAACTGTTAATGAGTTCAAGCGGAGTCTAAAACATAACAAAAATGAACAAATAGAGCTGTACTTTAGCTTTGTTATGTTTATTTACACCGTATAATACGATGTACTATCTTGTGACTTCTGATTAACTTTATCTTTTTTGTCCGTTGCTTCGCTTCCAGTACAAAAATTTTTTCTTGCTTGCCAAAAACTTTCATAGAAGAGTTTGACAATAGATGTCCAATGATTGAGCATTTACATACTCTGCTTCCAGTACCAAAATGTTTTCTTGCTTGCCAAAAAGTTTCATAGAAGAGTTTGGAAATAGATTTCTAATGATTGAGCATTTACATAATCTACTTCATCCAGACAGGGAAGTGCTAGTAGCAAGTCTAGCTGATGAAATTCTTGTATGAAACTGAGTTGTTTAGTTGTAAAGCTTCCATGTCATGATTGTAGATTGGCCTTCACTTTGCATTTAGATTGGGGTAAATTGAAACCATGATGCAGGCCTCATTTCCTTACCTGCCCAGCTTCACTCATTTCAGTACTTTCCATTGATTGCACGTGTCATTTGGATTTTATTGCCATGGACATTCAATGCAGTATTCCACGCTTCAGTAGATTAGAGGTTTTGTACCACATTCACGTTGTACCGTTAAAAATGAAATTCTGTCCAACATACTAAGCTGTGAAACTCCTGCACCTTTGGATTGCTATTTTTGTTATTTAGAGCATATATGGTGTGTGATCATTGTTCTTTCATCTGAGGACAAGTTTATTTGGTGTGCTTATATTTGTTTTTGTGATAACTTCCATGTGTTTCCATAGATGTTTGAGTGCTCTATTAACTTGTTTTAGTATTGTCTTCCATGAACTTAAACTTCGGTGAGAGCACAATGCTTGCTATTATTTTATGCAATTGTGTAATGATTTATAAGTAATTAAGGTAGTGATCTCTAAGTCTGGTGTTAATTTTTGTTTGTGTTTTTGCTTATCGTTCGTGCACCTTTATGCACCTTTATGCGGAATATCGTACTGATTTCTCGTGTGATTTAAGTATTTTAATTCAGGCTTTGCACTTCTATTTTGTTTGTTGATGGCAAAGTTGCCTGTCAGCACGCGGTACATTTTGTCTTTAATGGAGTTTTGGGTGAGCATCTGTGCTTGTTTTAGCTTATTATGGAAATTGTTGTATGTATGTATGTATGTATTACCGACATGTCATGATTTGTATCTGTTTCTATTATGCGTTTTTGCTTCTCGTTCGTGCACCTTTCTGTCGGTTTTTGTGCTGTTTCTCATGTGATTTACATATGTGAATTTCGGTTGGTGTTAAAGTTGCCTGTCATTTTGAAAGGAGTACATTGTGTTATGAGAAAAAGGAAAGGAAGAATAAAGTGCAGTTAAGCTGAAGATGCACGACTGGTAGCATGATGTTTTGGTTCGTATTGTACCATACCACTAGCAGATCCTGGTGATATCTTTGCATTGTGTGTGTTAGGACTCTCCTGACTTGTTGTATATTGTTTGCTATTTTGTATAATGATTTTGTTTTAGGTCATTAGTAGCACTGTGGTGGGTGTTCTGTGTTAACATTTTTTAACCCTAGTAACTTGTGTGCGTATATAATTTATCCAGATTCATCTTCTGAGGAGGAAGAGGAGGATATTTCAGTTAACGTTGCAAACAACGGTACTATTATCATTTTTGACCCGTTTTCTCATTCTGCTTCATTGTTCCACTAAATAATCATTGCCTATAAAAATTGCAGCAAAGTCTGAGTCAAAGGCCACGGAACAGAAACCCGCTGATGGTGAGCAGGGCAATGCTTCGAAAGAGAAAAAATCAGATGCTGGCAATGGAAAAGCAGTGGTTCCAGAGACTGAAAGTGGAAGCAGCGATGAAGACTTGATATCTGATGATGACGATGACTCTGAGGTACAATCTGATAACTTCTGCATGTAGCTTGTACACTGCTTTGTATAAAAGGATGTATCTGTTTCTTGTTTTTAAATGTTTTCGGGATTAATCTAATAATATAATTTATGAATCCTCCATCATATTATTTGATACAAGTCTACATTGTGGCTTCTGCTGTTGGAACTTGGAAGCCTCTAACGTGTCTCTCTGAATACAAGTCTACAGCCTTGTGCTTTTCTACTATTAAGAATCATAGTTATTTCAGCACCGGTGATTTAACTAGATTCCCCCTTAAGTGATTTTACTGGAATTTTTTAACTGTGGTTCTCATGATAGTGGATGAATGTTAAAGACTTGGTTCAATATTGTTTGAAGTTATTTGTATTGCCGGCATTCCTGTTTTTAAAATTTCTCTAATGAACACTGTAAATCGTATTGCGTAGCTAGAAAGCTTATGGTCAACTATATTCTATATGTTCTGTTTTTATGGTCAACAACCTAAAGTATCTGAAACATGCGTGACATTCATAATTTACAGGATGAGGAGGACAGCTCTGATGATGAATTTGATGAGAGTGAAGAGGAAGAGACTCCTCCTAAGAAGGTATTGCCCGCGCATTCAGACCTTATCATGTGTGGGCCAAAGGTGATGTTATTATAATATAGTTGTCTTTTATTATTTAACAATATTTTCTTTTTCAAAAAGGCTGAAACAAGCGAGAAGCGGCCGGTTGAATCTGCTATCAATACCCCTGTGCCCAACAAGGCAGAAGCAACCCCACAGAGAACTGGTATTATGTTACTTACTAGGCAACACCTTATTGCTTTTGATTTATGAGAAGGTCATTTCTTTGAAGATTATATACTGCCGATTTCGTCAATTCCAGTCATGCAAGTTGTTTTGGCACTAAAATTATTATTATTGGTTCTCATATTAGAATTTCCTTTGGAATAATTTCGTTTATCTTTCCAAGTCATTTTAGCCATTGTAACTACAAAAAAACTCATCCTTAAAATGCCCTGTAACTACCAAACAGGAACAACATATTTTTGCAGTGTTGTAAATCATCACTTCAAGCTTTTACCGTTTTATCATCTTACGTACAAATAAACGTCACGAGTTAACTTTATATTTTGCACTCTCGGTTTTCTTGCATTGTTATTACAGATGGAAAGAAAAACAACGTCCATGTAAATACACCTTACCCTTCAAAGCCACATGACATGGTCACATTCAGTGAACCAAACCAGCAGACACAAGAATCCGTAGGATCATATTTCTCCTGCAAGAGCTGCCATAAGTAGGCATTCTCTCAATCACGATCCATCCAATTAATTATCCAATTTCGTACAATATATAACAAAATTCATTTCTTCTTCTTTTTTTTTTCCTGTCGGCTGCAGAATATTTGTCAACGAGAAAAGTCTGGAATCCCACTCGAAAGCCAAGCATGGTGGTGGAAAGTAGTATGGATTCTGTGTAAAGGTGTGCTATGTTACTGGCTTATGGCAGATTTTTGATAATAGAATTTCGGATGACTTTTGGGCTTTGTTTGTAGAACGCATAGGCTTAGGATTTGGTGTTGATCGAGCTTTAGTTTTCTTGGGCTTCTTGGATTGTGTCGATGTGTTTTGATGTGGGCGCAAACCCAAAATGATACTTGAATATGTGGTGGATCCATGCTTGCTGATACTTTGCTTCTATTGCTATTTTTGCAAGATGGTTATGCCCTTGTTTTTCTTTGTTTTATCTCTTGCTCGTTCTTTTTGTCTAAAATGGGAAGGGATGAAAAGGGATTAAAAGAACTTGAAAAACAATTGTCTGTTATGGAATACGATCAGTAGTTTTCTTGCTTTAAACTACTAGGAATGTCTGCAAAATCGAGTGTGTTAATGGGTTTTGTTTTCAGCAAAATTAAGTACGTTCCTAGAGATTTTAGTACGAGTTTCTTTTTTCTTTTTTTCCAACGACAAACGAAATAAAATTACTCAATAAAATCGTCTTACAATGCGAGGCCCTACTAGGCACAATAGTCACCCACTCATGCTCAGGTGACCGCCCCAGAATGATTTTACAACTTACAGAGAATGACAATCTTTACAAACTCTAACATTGAAAATAAACTCACAGAAACTAAAAAACGAACAAAGTTGCTTGAAAGCTCTTGCCTCCTCTCCCAGCTGCCTCTGATCTTCTGAAAGGCTATGACTTCAGGGGATATTTTTTTGATTCCTTTTTTGTTATTACCGTTTTTACGAATGCTCGGTTTTTTTTTTTTTTTATTTTGCAGGTGACTCGATTACTTCCAGGGCCAAAGGCTCGAGAAGGTTTTTGGAATCGAGCACTTGCACATTCTCTGAGCCCCTTTCAGAACAGAGAAAGGGATTGTTCGGAAATGGATTTCTCGATTGGAGGTGAGTGAGTGAGATGGAAACTTTCACTGAGGTGAGTGAGATGATCATTTAAATTTCACACTGTTGACGTAAATTCATTGGCCAACAACAACTTTTAAAATCCTTAATTCAACTCTCGTTTTTTCGTTTCGTTTTAGGACGTCGGCAGAACTGCAAACGAAGCCCGATTTGATAATTGGCAACTATAGTGAGGGGAATCTTGCAGCTTCCTTGCTTGCTCAGAAGTTAGGTGTAACTCAGGTAATTTTATTTAAAATTTAAGGCAAATGTTTATTTTCAGCAAGTACTTTATATATAATTGTGTTCTGCATTATTTTAAAATTTTATTTAAAATTTAAAGCAAATGTTTATTTAAGGCAAATGTTTATTTTCAGCTTCCTTGCTTCCATGACGTGCGGGCTCCCGAATTTCGCCACCGTGCACGGCGGGCCCGCCGAGATTATCGTGCACAGGAAGTCGGGCTTTCACGTCGACCCGTACAATGGGGAGGAGGTCGCGGGTGTATTGGTCGATTTCTTCGAGAAGTGCGAGGCGGACCCCGCGCAATGGGACGCAATCTCGGTTGGCGGCTTGAAGCAGATTGAGGAGAAGTAATTACGGAAATGCCCCTCAATTTTTTTTTTTTAATATGTTGTCTATTTTTTTTTTTAATAACTGTAGGTACACATGGCAGATTTACTCGGATAGGCTGCTGACTCTGGCCGGAGTGTACGGTTGGCCGGAGTGTACGGTTTTTGGAAATACGTGTTGAAGCTCGATCGGCGGGAAATCAGGCGGTAACTTGAGATGTTTTACGCGCTCAAGTTCCGTAAATTGGTAAGTTTTTTTTATTACTAAGTGTAATTTTCTTCACAATTTTGGATGGAAATGCAATTTTCTTGTTTGTGATCACAGGCTGAAGCTGTTCCTCTGTCTGTTGAGTGATGATATTTCAAGTAATTTCTCATCTGGTGGTGATCGAAATTTTCAAATGCTCTATAGATATATGGGACAGTGAAAAATGGCGCAACCAAATAACTTGCTTAATTTGTACTGCAACTTAATTTCTTATTCTGAATTTGACCAGTTATTCAGATTTTTCTTGCAAACTCACCAGCGTGAATCATGTGTGTTTCTAGAGTCTGAACTATTATCGAATAATGAAGATTGGAATGTGATGTGTACCTTGACATACTTGCATCTTAATAAAAGAAATGATTCTTGAGAATGGCTACTGTATTCATTAGCTAATTTGCACAAAAAAAATGTTCAGTTTTTCTACATAGCGATATGAAGTCTTCACATTGGACGAATTTTAAAACAACGGATTAATCATGTATTAGCAACAAAATTTTGTATGGTGTGGATTAATAGTTAGGCGGCCGACTCGTCATGGTTTTTTTCTCTTTAAACAAAAATACATATTTGTATAATGAAATTCGTCCTTTTGTTTATATATTGTTTATCAGTGTGACATTTTAGTTTAAAAAAGTTTACATATATACCTTAGAGACTGAGATTTCAATTTTTTAAAGTCTGCATATATATTTATATATTTAAAAAGTATATACAATTATTTGACATTAGACTTTTATTGTGTATAAATATTTAACTATGTTACTGTCGTGGTTGATTTGTGCTGTCCGTTGGCATACTTTGAATGTGCTCAGCGAAAAAAATGATAATAAATCGTAGCCATAGATTTTATTATTCAATGGTAAAACACGAGAACCAACACTTTTACATTCATTAAAGGTAATATTCATTAAAGGTAATGTGGACATTTTCCCAACCACCCACAAGCCACCTACATCAGTGGGCCCCACACCCCACCAACACGTCCCACCTGTCTCACATCACTTGTCTCTCTTTTTTTCTCTCTCTCTCTTACACACACAGACACATAACAACACCCTCTCGTCCGACCTCTCCAACTGCGCCGCCGACCACAATTCTCCCCTGTCGGGTTCCGGCTTCTCCGGCGGCTGTAGGTTCGCAGTCGCTACAGCACCGTAACAGCATTGTCGATCTATGAAATCACCATCGCAGAGGCCGGATGCGCCGTCCACCTCCTATGTACGTCGGTCGCTCCTGCGTGAATCAATCTTGGCGAGTCATCGCGTCACCAGTTCCCTATGTGTGATGTCGGCGACCACCACCGCCTCACCCACTGTCGACCTTAGTCGTCCCCCACCATGCCTCCATCGTTGCCTTCGCTGCGACTGTCTCATGCTGCTAGATCTTCTAAGACGACTGTCGTCGACTTTCCATCTAGGAGGTTGATTACGCGCCAGACACCAGCTGGCCTCTGTGACTCGCAGCCAACACTTGACCATCGTTTGCCCCTCCACAGGTCGACCAGTCCTCTCTTTCTCTGCCCTCCGCGATCACCGCCATCGACCAACCCCTCTTTCGGCTGCTCCTCGAATAATCAACACGGCTTCGCAAATCGGGCCGAGCCACTCGCACGATGAACCACCTGGCGGGCGGGGCCCACACATACCACAAAGTGGTCCAACGGCATGTCCAACGACAAAAGCGATAAAATTTTTTTAGTTGGGTCTGATTTTTAAAAATTAGATAATTTATAGGAATTTATGTGCAATTTTAGGAAGTATAATAGATTACACTTTAGATCATAGGTCAAATTTACAATTTATCAAAAAATTAATCATTTCAAAAAAATGTTCAGTGCAATGCACAATATTATGTTTGGTTTTGCACATAAAACTGCAGTATACAAAATAGTGCTAGACAAACTGCACAGTAGTTCCTTTTAGATTGCACATTAGCGCAACAAGATATTATGCCCAATGACCCCATATGAAAAATTAAAAGTACACTGTTATGTTATTACGCTATTGTGCATTTCACACGCATTAAATTTTATGAAAATCAATTATATTTCAATTTAATTCATGGGTCGAATATGTGTTTATACAAAATTTAATGCAAAATATACTATGTGTATATGCACATTAAAAAATGTTTGATGGTGTAAACAACCTCGACCGGACTCGAACGACTTGGATATGCTCTCAATCTGACACCACATCGACATTTCACTACGTAGGCAACTTGACGATCTACATGCTAACAAGGTGAAACTTCCGTCATGCATATCTGACTCCCTTGTGTGAAACTGTTAATCGCTCAACTACAAAGTAAACGATTCATCTCCAAAAGACGTGATGTGTGATGCCACTTGTCACCTTGCATGCAGAGAAATCTTTCCTTCAACTGACACGTGTTCTGGAGACACTTCTAAGACACCATAAGTCATCAAAAAGTCATGATGACTTTTACCTTCTTTAAATTGTAAAAACTCGAAATATGAAACATACGACGAAATATATAATTCGCCAAGAGAAATTTATTTCGGCAATAAATACGCATTGCAATTTCATTAACGATCTCCTCACAACAAATTTATTTTTCACTGCTCACTCATTTTTCACCAAAAGAAGTTCTAAATTCTAATTAAACACTTCACTCTAACCCAATCTTAAATGAACTTTTCACATATATGAGATTAAATCCAAATAGATCGTCTAAACGAGTGATTATGAGAACATCAAAACTGGAAAAAGGAAAAAAGTATGTATTGACTTTATTTACTTAATATACTAATCCTCAATACAACATTTATTTATACCATTTTTGCTTGTCTAAAATACTAGTGGTTGATATGTTCCTAGTCCCTACTTCTCTATTTCAACAATTAAAAAATGTGACCAGCATCGGTAGCTATTGTTTGTTGTCACATTGATAAGAACTAATTTATTAAATATGATAAAGTTCCCAGCCTCGTATTAAAATAAAGTGTGAAATTTATTGATAAAAGGTATAAATTAATGAGTCCAGAAAAAGGCAAACTTGCTAGCACATGTCCGTCACTTTCAAANATGACATGTATTACACCTCAGAAGTATTACACCTCTTTCAAACACCATCGCTCGCTTATTTACCTCTCAAATTTAGAATGTTTGGTGAATTTAGCTAAAAAGGTAAATGATAGACAATAATTTATAAGTTAATTTAAAGTTGATAAGTGATAATGGGTGGTGAGACTAGATGGTGATGGTAAGAAAATCAATTAATAAAATTGTGGTTGACCCAATTTTATCTGACTTTTTTATGGGTAAATATTTAATTCGATTGATTTAAATTGTATAAAAGAATTTACGTTTTAAATAGACTCGTAGTATATTTATTCATACGATCATGTGTAATCGACACCCGGTTTGTAATAATAGTAAAGCTCATTGATATAACAAAACTAAATAATAATGAAGATAAAACAAAAATATATCTCTTAGTTTTTTCCTTATTTAAAAGTCATCCTACCAAAAATTATAAATTAATTATAGTTTTATTAAATTTGTAAATGAGTTAGAGATGATACTCAACCTCGGTTCATTAACCAAACAAACCAATAAATGAATTCAAATTTGGCTTATTTATCAATATTAACGAATTGAATTCGATCATTAATAAACCGAACTATAAAAAATTATATAAAAAAACTTTATATTTAAGCCTCATGCTCGGCTCATTCATTAAATAAGCTTTAAACACACTCGAGATCGATTTGTCTGATAGCTCAAATCTTAACGAGCCGAGCTGATTAAGCTCATGAGTCGTTTCTTCAACAATTTAGTTTTTTTCAAACACACTCTAAATAATAATATAAATTACCATTATTTGAGTGTGAATAGAAACAAAGCCATCCACTTTCTTTATGTTCACTCGTATGCTTTAGTTGGCCTTGTTGGTTCGACTAGATGCGTTATGTAGTCGTTTGGCTATTCCTGTATGAACTTAGTTAGTTATATAGTAGTTGTATTATGTATTGTAGGGTCATATTAGATTAGATTAAAGGCCAACATAAATGAGGTCCATCTTTTGTCTTTATATACATGTACATACCTTTGTGATTAATACATCAGATATTTTTTCCACATTCTCACATGGTATCAGACTAGGGTTAGAGTCCATTGTAGGTTTGGCTTTTGTCGCAAATCTCCGGCCACTTCTGGTTCTCACCGCCCGTGCCATGTCCGGTGAGTCTTCGCCTGAAAGCGGGTCCCATTTGCTGGTGCGTGTCATCCACACGCCCCACTTCTTCGTCGCGGTGCTGCGACATTTCGCTGGCACATGTGGTCCACCCCGAACTCCGATTGACGTCGTGTTTCAGTTGTACACTCCTATCATCGTCGACTACGTCTTGGTGTGGTCGGTTTTAGTTTTCGTGACGTTTTTAATTTCACCTGATTTGTGATATTTTTACGGTTTTGTGATCCGATTCATGCCTATATTTTCATCTGTTTCGTGATATTGTGTTGATCTAATTTTTAGAAATGGATCGTATGGATGTGCACCTTAGTGGGGTTCCCCCAGTTGAGTTTAATTTGAAAATGAAAGGCCATCCATATATTTTTTTTTTTATACAACGAAAGGAGGCAAAAGCGTAGGACCCTCAGGTAGGTATATATGTTCCGCGGGTAAGCAACGCCAATGAGGTCATGTTGTATCCACAGTTTAAGTACCGATGGTGGGTCTAAGAAGCGTTGGCAACCACTAGGACAGTGATGTGCTAAAGTCGCCAAACAATCAACTACAAAGTAATTAGCTTCTCTATAACAATGAATTACTCTAGTCTCCCATTCCCGGGTAAGCAACTCCCGGATGGCCCTAACCATGCGACCATGAACTCCAAGATTCTCCGTGGGCAAAGACAGACCCATCCATATTTGATATAGGTCGCGGGCACCGAAATGCAAAGACAGACCTAACTCAGATGCTATTTTTTAATTTTATTTTTTGTTCAAATATTTTTCAACGGTTATTTTAGCCAGCTAAACAACCTAGCTATCCGTTGTTTCATCTCCTACACATATTTACGTACCACTACCATTCCCTGGGTTAACCGTTATCCCAAAAAGATAGATACGATTTTGTTAAAAAGAACTATTTGCGAGTAAACTGCTCTTATCCCTGTTTGAAACAATGGACCTATCTAACGGATATATTCGTACCTTTCCTTGTGGCCTATCTATCTACTCACACGATCAGGAAATGTGGCCAAATCGCCTATATTGATCGGCTAAGCATCATCGGCTTGGTGAGGCCTTACTTCGCCAACTAGCTAATACTCTGCGGGCTCTGACAGACAGATTCCCACGTGTTACTCACCTACCTGCTTAAAGAGCAAGGGCCGGATACGAACCTATACCCTTACCTCTTGGCTATGCCCCTTGCCCAACAGGAGTCGAACCGGATTTAGTGAGATTTTAGAGGATGCTTGGATATAAAATTTTTTGGATTTGTTTGGATTTTTTTGGTTTGGTTTGGTTAATTTTGAAAAAGGTGGTATGGTTAGTTGTTAGTGGTATATTAAAATAATATTTAAAATAAAATAATTAAAATTGATTTAATATAAAAGTATGAGAGAAATGATTTGAAGTGATGGTTAGTTAAAATTATGTGAGAGGATGAATAGTGAATTAAAGTTGATGTGATGTGTAAGAATGATTGGTTGATATTATTTAATTATATTAATAATATTAATATTAGTTGGGTTGAGTTAAAGTTGAGTTAAAAAAAGTGGTTGAGTTAAAAGTGTTTGAATTTTTTGGATAAGTTTTGTATCCAAGCATCCTAAGTTAGTTTTTATTTAAATAGTAATTAAAATTTAATTATGATTAAAATTGATGTGATTCAAAAGTATGAGAGAAATTATTAAAAATAATAAATAGTTAAAAATATGTGAGTTGATGAACATTAAATAATAGTAATTGATGGGATGTGTGAGGACGATGGATTGGTGTTATTTAATTATATATTAAATAGAGTTGAATTGTATTTTAAATTAAATGATGTAAAAAATTACATAGTCAATCCAAATTGATTTTAATATGTAACCAACCGCCGACAATGAGTTGCGCAGACTATTGAATTGCTCATCAGAATTTCAAAACTTGTAAATTTAAAGACAAAAAATTAAATTTAAAGATACATGACATTTAATTATGAATAAGAATGCATAAAGTTTACCTAAGTTGCATTAATGATATAATAAAATTACAATATTTATAAAATAACAAAATTAAATATGGCAGTAAAATTTAGATTAAAATGAGTAATTGAGTGTTGTACAGTTAATAAAAATAAATATTATTAGTATTTTCCTTTATTAAAAATAAATATAAGGATTGAAATTATATTTACAGTAATATAAGTACCTTATATGGAGGAATAAATCGGTCGACTAGGTCGAACGAGCCGTCCGGTCGAGCAGAACCACACTAGGACTGGTAGTTGTCGAACGTCGCCATCTCAGGACTAAGAGCCTTTGAACTGGAAGACAACACAAGGGTACAGGGCAGCAGGTCGAGCTAGGACCCTCAGATGGCCTGTAAGCACGACTAGTCGTATGATCGACCAGAATGAGCAACACTTGGTCTAGGACAACCAATATTCTACCTCGTCAGACCTCGAGCGTGTCGCACTATTGAGTGGTCTAATACGAATGATTAAGTGATAAGAAGAAATCTTGCCATAATTTGTGCTACACATGCCACTACTTGATTGTTCGGCATTCTGCAACCACCTCTGACAGTGGGCAGTACGGGCTGTACTATCGGGCAACTCAGACAGCTTGGGCAACCAACTCATCACATTCGGACAACCTTCTAGAAGTAGGTACCTTACCCCTATAAATAGGGTTGTACAGTTAATAAAAATAAATATTATTAGTATTTTCCTTTATTAAAAATAAATATAAGGATTGAAATTATATTTATAGTAATATAAGAACCTAATATGGAGGAATAAATCGGTCGACTAGGTCGAGCGAGCCATCTGGTCGAGCAGAACCACACTAGGACTGGTTGTGGTCGAACGTCGCCATCTCATGACTAAGAGCCTTTGAACTGGAAGACATCATAAGGGTACAGCCGTACAGGGTAGCAGGTCGAGCTAGGACCCTCAGATGGCCTGTAAGCACGGCTAGTCGTATGATCGACCAGAATGAGCAACACTTGGTTTTGGACAACCAATATTCTACCTCATCAGACCTCGAGCGTGTCGAACTATTGATTGGTCTAATACGAATGATTAAGTGATAAGAAGAAATCTTGCCATAATTTGTGCTACACATGCCACTACTTGATTTGTCGACATTCTGCAACCACCTCTGACAGTGGGTAGTGCGGGCTGTACTATCGGGCAACTCAGGCAGCTTGGGCAACCAACTCATCACATTCGGACAACCTTCTTGAAGCAGGTATCTCACCCCTATAAGGGGATGAGATTTGTGATTTTAGGGAATTACGTTACATATAGTCTATATTTTATGCAACTCATCTCCTACACATACTTATTGAATAATCGGAAACTCTACACATTCTAAAGGCGTTCAATCGACGGACGAACTCAAGAGCAGACCGATTCTAGCCAGTAGGGTCATTGCCCAGGACCCTGTCTATTACTTTTTTAGTTAAATGGGTCCGCGAAACTTCATCCACCAATTAACACTCTTTGTTAAGTAGATTTGACGGATGAGTTTGATTATTTTGAAATTAAATAATAATCTCTACCATTAATGTACAAAATAATTTTTTTTTAATAAAATAACATCATCATTATTCACCTCCCAAGTCCTAAGTAACACAACCTAATCATTTTTTTAGTTCCTCTTTTTTTTTACTTAAGTGAAAAAAAAAAATAATAATAATAATAAGAATGTTGCATAGAGCCGCAGACGGTTTTGCCTCTTCGTCGAGCAAAAACAAACCTTTGGGCCCGGCTCAATGGGCTCCCTTTTTTCCAGCCATTTGATTGACACCGCTGACACTGACAGTACCCCTTTTGACACTTTTACCCTTTTAAACCCCCTATATATACCCCACCTTCTTCTTCCCCAATTTTTCCCAAATCACACAAAAACCCTTCATACTTCCAAATTCCAACAATGGCGAAAGGAGGAAAGCTCACCAAAATAAAGTCCGTGCTAAAGAAAATGCAGTCCTTCAAAATCGGTCGCACGGACTCCATCTCCGCCAGGCACGCCTCATCCCACGACGACTCGTTCGACCCGACCGCCGCCGCCGGAAGCGGCGGCGAGGATCTCCGCTCCGTCTACGTCGGGAAGTCTCGGCGGAGGTACCTCGTCCCCGCCTACGTCGCGGAAAATCCGCTCTTCCGCGAGCTCGTCGATCGGCGCTCCGGCAGCGGCGGTGAGGAGGAAGACGCGATCGTCGTCGGCTGCGAGGTCGTTATGTTCGAGCACCTCCTCTGGATGCTGGAAAACGCCGATCCCCAGCCGGAGTCACTGAGCGAGCTCGCCGAATTTTACGTCTGAAAAAAAAAGGGAAAATGGAAAATGGGAAAGTGACGGTAAGGGAGGTGATTGTGTGCGGTCGTACTCACGCGCGGTGGTACTGTTGTATAGCTGTTTCTNTTGCGAGTGTACAATAACGTGAGGATTTAATTAGAGGTGTAGAATTGTTATACCGAGATTTGCTTCTTAAATTTGACGGTGAGGATTTAAATTTTGAACCCATTTCAAACGGCTGATCTTCAATGGAGGAAAAGAGCCTAACGGGTAATAATGGACTAATGTCTGAATATTGATTTTTTCAATGTGTAATTTTTATTATTGCTTATGTTAATCTTGACAATTTCAAGTGTGTGCTCGTATGTGTATTGTGTAAGCAACTAAGCACGTTTCTTTGGGATGATTGGATATGAAAAATCCAATCAAAATCAATTAATCTTCACTATTTATTTTTTTAATTTCAAAATCTAATTAAAATTTAAACGAACTTCAATATTATCAATATAATTAAAAAAATATAAATTAATTCTAATTTTCTATTTATATTTTATTTACATAATTATAATTATTTATCACTTTCAATCGCATTTCTCTTACTTTTATTTCAAATTAATTTTAAAAATTTANATATCCAATCAGAGATCTATATACAATCACCCTCTTAATGTTTGATGAATTTAGCCAATCTTGTTAGTTTTTAATTAATTTAGTCAATTTCGATAATTCAATAATTTCATTAAAAAAAAGTTGTTTTGACTTTTGATTGCTTATATTATCAAATTATTTCGTTTGAGAGAAGCTACAATGAGACACATATTAAAATGAACAGTAATGCTAAGGAGCCAACTGTTGGCTCCTTAGCATTACTCTTAAAATGAAATTGCGAAGATGAATCATTACCATCTATTAATCTAGATTCAATGGATGGAAATTGCTTAAAAAACTATGAATCATTTACTTTATAAATATGCATCAATCAACTTCTAAATTAGCAGTGTATCATAGTTATGCCTTCTATGTTTTCAAAGTGTGACATATTTTTAATAAAAAGTACATATATATTAGTGAAAAAAATATACTATCCTAATAAAAAGAACAATAGATGTAATGTCTATTAGGAAAGAATGTTTATTAAGTTCAAAAGCAATGTATTCTTTGAGTTGAGCTCCGAAATCTTGATATTACATTTTCGATTTCGCTATATTTGGTAGATTATATTTGGTTGGATAATATGATCTTATGTGATGTTCAAATTACCCCAAATCCGGTTTTAGATTAGTGGTTTCACGAACCGTTCTTGTGTCTAAAGTCTAATAATCTGCAAAACGCGTTGGGAAGGGTCTTGGCAGAAAAACCTCCGATACTTAAGTTAGATCTCACTCATGGACTGAATCTGGGATGTAAACATAAATTGTGGGCTAATTGTAAAATAACATGATAATCTTTTTTATAGGAATATTGTCTTCTAGTACATGTAACCTCATTACTAAAAAAGAGATCCCTCGTATCTCATTTTTTAATAAGACAATTCTTAGATAGATATACTTATTGTGCTAATAGGATTGTTTTCTTCTTTACCATGATTCAGCAGGTCCTTGAGTCATCGTACTGACCTCACGAGTCTGATGCCATATTTCTTACTAGGGCGTTATACGACCTTTAGGTCATAACTATCCATTTTCTAGTCGAGTTCTCAGTATACCCAACTTGCCAGTTCGCAGATAAACTCAACCCATACCTCGAGCTGCTATACCGAACATTTTGACAGAGTTAAATCCTGTTATCTGCTATACCGAACCCTTTGACAGAGTTAAACCCTGTTATCGAGCTAAAATCTATCTTAGACGAATTAATCCGGGCTAATTAGTCAATCAAACTATTATTGTGTTATATCATTATAAACAATGAAATTTTGAAATACATACTTCCATCCATCAAATGTAACACATACTGTGATCCTTATTGTCATTCGAGTGGGCTAACACTCGACTAATGTCATAATTACAAGGTAGTCGAGTGTTGCCTATTTGAATGACTAATAACTAAGTTCAAAGTGAATTACAAAATCCCAATCCCTATTATAGGGACGAAATCATATAAAATGATAAAAGTGAAAAAAGTAGAAAATTAATTGTATATATATAAGTTTATAACCCTTCACTATCTAATTTTCGTTAAAAGATTGATATGCTACACTTCTTCAATAATAATACATAGTTATGTTATAAAATATCGTAATCTTTTTATGCATTTAAATATATATTTATTCTTAAGTTATGATTTTTCATTATAAAATATATTGTTTTATTAAAAGGCGGGTATATTTGCTTAATAGTTGCCTTAGTGAACCTAGCGTTTAAATATATTTATTTTTGTGATATGATTTTTCATCAGAAAATATATCATTTTATTAAAAAGGCTGGCATATATTTGTCTAATAAGTGCCTTAGTGAACCTAATGCAGGGTAAACGTACACAAATGGGGTCTTCAAAATTTTGAGTTTTATTTGTATAATGATATAGTTTGTAGTTGAGTTTTAAAGAAGATTAGCAAGACGTAGAGTAAAAGAATGCATAATTAATAGAAGATCACACCGTACATCAATTTGCTCGGCTGCAAATAACGACTGCAGCCATCACAATTGGTAATTGGAACTTTTTTTTTTTTTTCTCCC